TGTTTATTTATGTATTTATTTCCTATGCCACCCATCTCATCAAGGTAACTATTAGGAAAATAAAACCTGAAAATTTTAGAAGTAGGTATGTGCAGACTAGCTGTTTTGCACCTGACTATAAAATGTCTTTGCAACCTTTCTCCTGCTCGAGCAGGGGGTTGGGCTAGAAGACCTCCAAGGTCCCTTCCAGCTCTATTCTATTCTATTCTATTCTATTCTAGTCACTACCAGGAGTGCTTGCATGTAGATCTCTATATGCCATAACAATAATGTAGAAGTATGTTCCCCCTTAGTGAATTCAGACTCAAGCTCTTTAGGGCTTTGAACAAAATTACCAATATTTGATATTTTATCTGAAAAACCGACAGCTAGCAATTCCTACAGATATAATTTCCATCTTAAGAACTCAGGCACAATTGTATTAAAATATTTTCTTCGCTTTTATGAATCCATCTAGCAATTAAGTTGTGTATTATATGGCTTTCAACTACTATATGTTTCTAAGCTGTTTTCCCAGGGTATATATGAGACACCATTTTGCAATCCTTTCTTAAAACTAATTTAGCTTATCTCATCAGTAGTATAGCAATATCACTTAGATTTGTATACCGCTTCACAGTGCTTTACAGCCCTCTTTAAGTGGTTTACAGAGTCAGCATATTGCCCCCAACAATCTCTGACCTTGGAAGGATGGAATGCTGAGTCAACCGTGAGCCGGTGCGAATTGAATTACCAAACTGCTGGCAGCTGACAGTCAGCAGAAGTAGCCTGCAGTATCACATTCTAACCACTGTGCCACCATGCCACCCGTATACATGGAAAGACTGACAAGTCCCAGGGGGCTCTCAGAATAACAGATTTGGAAGGAACCTTGGAGGTCTTCTAGTCCAACCCCATGGTTGATACCATTTTAGACAAATGGTTAATTTAGTAGATGATTTTGGGGAATTGCCCTTGTACAAGTTTCTGCATTGTTCCATCTTGTTCTCCAGTTCGTGATTTTTAATATTTAGAGAGTAGATGAGATCTCAGATAATGCTAATCTTCTCCAATTCCCATCATCTAAACCAGAATTGTGAATGTACAACAGTTATTTAAAATGCAAGAGTAAACAAGGAATCCTGGGCCTGCTGATCCTAGATGTGTTCAGTGTGTTAAGGATGGTGTTGTGAATAAACTTCATAGTTTAGGAATATTGTGCAGCCATTGTTGCTTATGAATATGCAGCAGATAGTAATGCAACATTAACAATGTATTTTTTTGGACCTTAAGACTGTCTGAATCCTTAATTTGTTCAAAATATGTAAGTCAATGTTGCTTGGATGGGATATATAATATGAAACACCTGTGATTATCTATTTGTTTTCAGCTCAATGCAAAGTCCTGGAAGTCCTAAAGAGTTTGAGACAAGAGTCCTTCATGAATCAAATTCTCCCCTATGGGAACTTTGCTCACCTTATGGTCCCTTCTTACAGTCCCATCTCTGCCAGATATTCATCTGGAAGGAACAAGAGAAAGGTAATTTTATAGTTATGCTCAGTTTATGAAATAATATTTTGAAAATATGTCTTTGACCCTTGACCCTTGTGTCACTTCTTTTCAGGCACTTCTCTTTCATTTTTTCATTAAGGTTTTGTTGTTGTCTATTTTTTTCCTTTAGTGTAAAAAAAACTTTTAGTTTTTTTTAAATTCATGATATTTTGTTTCAAGCCACCTTATTTCTACATTGGAGAAAAAAAGGAATGAACATACAAATATAAAGGTTGCTTAATGTTTCTAGATTTAGTGTCTATGGAGATTCTCAGTCATCCAGGTCATAGTTATCCCAAAGGTGCTTTTTCACGAAGCAACTGGACTTTCTTGTTTTTCTTTGAAGACATTTCGCTTTTCATCCAAGAAGCTTCTTCAGCTCTGCCTGGATGGTGGGGAACGGAAGGATTTATACTCCTTGCAGACAGCTGGTCATTTGCATTCTTTTAAAGAGTTGTTGAGGCCACCTGGAGGTTTATCTGTGTCATCAGGTTCACCTGAATAGTGCAAATAGGTGTGGTGCCTTCTTGGAACTGCTGAAAGGACTGTGTTGTAGACTGGAGATAAATGATGTTGTATCCCTTCTCCTCTGTTGAGAGAGGACTGTTCACTTTTGACATAGATGGCTTCTTTGACCCCTCTTTCAAATCAGTGGTCATCTCTGTCCAAAATGTGGACTTTGCTGTCTTCAAAAGAGTGGCCTTTGTCTTTTAAATGCAGATGGACTGCTGAATCTTGTCCTGATGGGTTTGTTGTCCTATGTTGTGCCATGCATTTATGAAGTGGTTGTTTTGTTTCCCCAATGTACAGGTCTGCACATGACTCACTGCATTGCACTGCATATACCACATTGCTCAGTTTGTGTTTTATCCAAGGATAAAACGCCCAAGGATAAAACACCCAGACACAAGCTGCAATACAATGCAGCTATTTATTTATTTTATTTATTTATTATTTAGATTTATATCCCGCCCTTCTCCTCGTAGGACTCAGGGCGGCTGACAATCAATTAAAATACATAAAAAACAATACAGATTTAAAATTAATTAAAAGAAATATTTGAAGATTGTCCAATTTAAAATATAATTAAAACCCCACTAAAAATTACCCTAGGCCAGTCCTGCAAGCTGGAATAACCAAGTCTTGAGGGCGCGGNGAGGTAATCTGCGGCAGGAGGCGGTCTCGAAGGTATCCGGGTCCGATGCCATGGAGCGCTTTAAAGATGATAGTCAGCACCTTGAAGCGCACCCGGAAGGCCACAGGCAGCCAATGCAGCTCGCGCAGCAGCGGCGTCACGTGGGAACGTCGAGTCCCCCCCAACACCGCCCGCGCGGCCGCATTTTGGACCAGCTGGACCCTCCGGGTGCTCCTCAAGGGGAGCCCCATGTAGAGAGCATTACAGTAGTCCAGGCGGGAGGTGACAAGTGCGTGAGTGACCGTGCGCAGATCTGTACATTGGGGAAACAAAACAGCCACTTCATAAATCCTTCCATTCCCCACCATCCAGGCAGAGCTGAAGAAGTTTCTTGGATGAGAAGCAAAACGTCTTCAAAGAAAAACAAGAAAGTCCAGTTGCCTCATGAAAAAGCACCTTTGGGATTTCTAGATTTAGAATAGAATACTTTATTTGGGCAAGTATGCTTAGACACTTAAATTAGTATATTGCACAGTATCAGTGAATTCTGACCAATCTGATTTTGTTGCACCGCCAATCATTCCTTGCATAATTGATTTTTCTAAGAAATATGAATATGTCATGACTAAATTAAGACAGACTTTAATTGGTAATCTTAGCTTCAGGTGATATTTCTGGCTTGATGAAGTCTAAATATCCTGGTTCATTACATTGGGTATAAGCTTTCACAGCTAGTATCTGTTGGGCAATGTTGGGCATCAGGATTTAGTGACCATGCTCTAGACCACAGGTATCAAACTCACGACGTCATGTGATGTGTTGCGATGTGTCGCAACTTTTTTCCCATTGCCGGCAATAGGGTGGGTGTGGTTTTGGCATGACATATCCAGGCCACGGGCCAGTAGTTTGACTGCTCTAGACAATAGGGTTCCACATATTTTACAAGCAACCGTTTGGTCTTTAGCCGAGATGATTTCCAATTGGTTCTTTGTCTGTGTCCAATTCTGGTTGCTGTTTTGGTTGTTTTGGTTCCTGATTGATACATTGTTCATGTTGGCCTCTGTTTGCTCATTTTTGAAGTGCTCATCCCTGAGTGGTTCATTGTTGGTGCTGGATTCTGGTTGATTAATGTGAGCAGCTGAGTATTAATAAGGCCCTTGTCCAGGCAAATGTATGATTATCCTATTTTGGGGAGCTGATTCCTGATTGGTTCTGTTTTTGGACAGAAATAACCAAGCATTGTTAACTTTCAGACATTTTTCTATTGTGCCGCACCCTAATGATCCTAAAATTGAGTTCAAGGACACACAGATGCTGTCAACAAATATCAAACTATTTTGTACACCTGCACTGAGAGGCTACTGAGATCCACAAACATCCCAATAGCTTCAACAAAAAAAGGAGCCTAAAAACCACACCAAGATCCTACCCAAAAGAAGATCAGCCAGGAATGGTTGTACTATTATATAAGGGAACTATAAGAATTTTGGTTAATTACCAAACACATCATTAAAGCACCTGACCAATCTCATCTGTTCTAGAAGGTCTTAGTGAGGGAGCTCCAGCAAATATCAGGACTGTAAGTTAGATTGGGAAGTTGAAATATATCCCAGAAGAAAACAAGAGCAAATGACGTCCATGTTTCTACCAAGAATGTTATGTGAACATATCCATGAAGTCACTAGGAACTGAGTTGATTTGAAGATTTCACCTGTATTATACACAAACTTTTGAAAGTCGGCATCATTTTTTTCTGCCTTCATGGAGCAAGTGATGGGAAAGGCCTTTCCCTCCTGGAGCTTCTGGAAAGTTGTTGCCAATTAAAATCAGCAGGTTGGTGTTCAATGGGAAAAGATCCTGATCCGGCATGGAAGGCAGTTGGTTTCATTCACAATTTAATTGTTGCAAGTTAGTTCAGGGATATTACTGCATCTACTGACATTTGTGGGTGACAGCAGCTTGTCCAATCTAAAGTTGGCCCCAAATATTTGATCCTTTTAGGAGGCTTATATCAAATTTGGCCCAGTTCATGTGACATCTGCATCCTGCTTCAGTATGTTAGACCATATTTACTGCACATCACATCGCACCTGCCAACACTGTCATAGCCAATTGACATTTTTTAAAAAAAACTTGTAGCTGCGTATCGTCAAGAAAAACAACATTGTTTTAGGACCTCTTATCTCTTAGCTCCCAAATATCCTGTTTCTTCAAACTGCAGTAGCCAGGACCAATAGAAACCTCTTCCTGCCACTGCCTGACTTCATTTCCCAGAGTTAGCACAATCTCATCCGTTCTAAAAAACTTCATCAAAACTTCTTTCTGGTCAGAGTGAAGCAATAATTATTATTGACAATTATTAGCGATCAATAAGCTAAATACATTATGGCGAGCACTATTAAGGTAAGAAAGGGAATGCCTTGTGGTTAGCCTTTTTTATATTGTGCTTTTTCCCCCAAAATTTGCTTTTAAAACAGCAGTAAGGTAGAATTGGGCAACACCCCCACAGCCACAATAGAGGACAAGAAGATTTCCTTTGTACTGGTTAGTAAATTTCCTTTTTCCTACTCCCTGTCCACAAGGCTTAAAAACTTGAAACTGAGAAAAAGTTGGGTGTTTTTTTTAAATTCACTCTTCAGTGCTGTGGATTATACTTGCAAAGCCTTTGGAGGGAAGACCTGAATTTACTGGTTGCAATAATTTTTGAACAAATTTGGATATGTATCTGAATTAAGCTCTGGAAAAAGTAATTATTGAGAATTTAAACAACACATTTTGGAATTCTTCTCAACATTTGATTCGAAGCTGAAATTTTCTTCTTATTATTTGGACATTATTTTGAAATAATACTTTATTCATATTATTTTGTACAACTAGAATTAGTAAGGTTGTTCTTTTAAGATATACTTCATTTTTAAAAAAAAATGTGGGGGAGTGTTTAATAAAATCTGTGATAAGTTTGTGACTCCAGTTTCTTAGCGTTATTTTCAGCTTTTTTAAAATAACTGCTCAACATGATAATGTTCCTAAGGCTGGATTATAATGTTTTTGAGATAAATAATATATTATTTGTGTCTGTGTAGAATTCACTGCGTAGTTACAGCTTGTACCTATTAATAACAGATATGGCAGTAAGTGTTAATTATCTGCTGAAGAAATAAACTTTATGTAATTTTAATTTGATATGAAGAAATAGGATTTATATTAATGAAAAGCTGTTCAGGGTACAATATTTTATTAATAGCATTAATATTTTAATCTTTTTCCTAAACTAGAGGTTTATATTTTAGAAACAAAATTAGAATATTGATAGCAGAATCCTATGCATATAGATTATGGCAATGTCTAACTAGATTTATTTATTATTCAGCTTTAAGTGATTTTAGAATTATAGTCCAGGTAATTTTCTTTAATAATAATAGTGACCATGACTTCATTTCATTTGATAAGGTCACTTAATATATTTCATTAATTGTTTAATATTCTCAAGTCTGGTTGACTTGCTGAGACTATTGCAGTATTGCTTTGTTTAAAAATCTTTTTATTTTATAAACATGGATTCTGTGATAGTAGAATATTGAATGAGTGAAATATTATTTAGTAAAAGTAGGATAGTAAGGTGGACTTTATTCTGAAGGTAAAAGTGTTCAACATCTTTCAAATTAAGTTTAAAATGAATATTTTAAGACAGTAATATCAGAATAAAAGGAAAACCTAGCGAAAAAATTGGTCTTTTCTGTTTATTTAATCTTTTGCACACTGAGTAAATATAAAAATCAGAATGACAAACCTGACTATTCAGAGTATTTTTAAAAATCAATACATATTAAAGGTAATAAAATTGATGACAACTTTATTTAATTTAATAATGTCATTTGAACCATATTTTGTAATATAGCAAAAGGTTAACAATTATTCTAAAAATGTTATATATCAGAATTTTATCAGTCAACTTTGCTACCAATGTATAGTTCTCTCCGTATTTGAGAATACAGGAATGGTGATTGACTTATGACAGAGGGAGTTAAATACTGTTATTTTAACAGTTTATTTTAAAATAAACCTGCACTGTGAGATGTTCAGAAGATCTTGTTTTTATTTTATCTTATTTGAGGCTATTGTTTTTCAAGAAAATATTCTGATTACTATTCTAAGGAAACATGAAAATCTTGGCCAATCTGCATCAAAAGTGTAGTTTAAATATATTGAAAAGTATAAATTTGGCTGCATGGTATTGCAGTAATTCTTTATTTGCTCTAACAATGCACTCTTACTTAAATTTGTCACGGTGAACATGAATCTAACTAGGACAGCATAATCATACTGCCATATGACCACTTCGAGTTGGAGAAAATAAAAAAAAAATCTTTCTCCAATATAAATGGCACTAATTTCTAATTAAGAATAGAACAATAAATAGATGGATAATATGCAATTATAATAAAATGCAGCAGTAGAAAAAGATATGTTCTTTTATTTTCACCTAATTTTCTCTTCCAACGGGCATAAAATTAATCTTATTACCTGTTTGTAATAAGATTACGGGTATTTTTTCAACTCCTGTTATTCAAAATTTGGAAGTTATAAAAAGGAAATTTTATTCCACAGCAGGTTCCGTTTTCTTGGTTCTGTGGCCATTGATACTATTACAAGATTATAATAATATGCTTATTTTGTTAGTACTGGTTATCCTGAAACTGTGTACTGATTACATTTGTGGATAGCTAAACCACCTAATCTGCCTCAGAACATATACAGAGTTTCCTTTTTTGTGGTTGAGATGCTGTGCTATCTGAGATTAAATGTCTGCATATTTAGAATGGGAATATTTGAGGTTCAATAGTCAGAGTGAAAACATGTATTTCTGCCTAATACTCAGGCGATATATTAACTACAATGGTTATTTAATATTTATCATGATCACTTCCTGAAAATATTGGCATATTTGTAAGAAAAGAATCTGTGCAATATATTTCAGTGTCAACGTTGAAAAAAAACCCAACAGGTATAATTACAAAATAAGGCAGAGTGCAATTTTTGTTTATATTTCTTAGTTTTTGGTAGCATTAGTATAGACCAGTAAAGTGAAACAACAACATATTGTTACTCTTTTTTGTTAGCCAGTTAGATAGTTTCCCTATAAAATGCATGAGCAAATATTAATATAAACAGATATGATCAAGGTACAGATACAGGTAATTTTTCTTAAATGACTCAAGGTTGCACATCATGGGTAAAATGCTTTTTTATCTCTTCAAATTTTCAGTACAAAATGCTATCGCAAAGTTATGTACATCCAAACAGATCTAGTTGCTCTATCTTCAGAGCTAAAAATGAAAGGTGAAATAACACAGTGGAACTCCAGGGTCTCCAAGAGAAGGGCTTGAAAGTTATTTCATACAGAGACTGCTTATAAAATGTGCAAACCTCTCTGTATAAAAGAATTAAGGTTTGATGCTGCTGTAGATATCAAACTAAAGCTGTAGATATCAAACATGAAGGTATCAGAATTAGAACACATTTGGCTGTGTTATTAAATATCCTATAGAAATAGACATCGTTTACAGACTTAGTTCTGCTACACCTTCTTTTGTTTCTTACCTGGCTCCATAAATGGAATAAAAAAGAAACATTTTTTTCACTGTTAAATTAATTTTATAGCTCACTTCTTGCTAACTGCAATGATAAGGAGTGTAAGATTCTCTGACCAAGGATGTTTGTATCTTTGGGATACTTGTATCTATTCTTGAAAGTGAGGGTTTGAGAGAGAAATGCAGAAAATAAACCTATTCTGCTTTTGTCGCACTCATGTCATACAGTCTAACTATAAGAGTTGTATTATCAATGAATCACTATTGTAGTTGATGCATCTGGTTGGTATTTCTATACAGCTTCCTGAAAACAGAACATATCAATGTTCTAAAGAAATGTTATTCCTCTTCCTTCTCAATTATTTTATTCCCTTGATTATTCATGCAAAATATTTTTAATCCAGTGGTTTTCATTTATTTCCTTTATGTGGACCATTGTATAATCCTCAGAAGATTTTTAGGATTATTAAATAAGTCTAGAGTTGACAATGTTGACACCCATCAGAATAACAATAATATTATCAGTGAGGACAATTAACCAGTGGAACAGCTTGCCATCGGAAGTTGTGGGTGCTTCATCACTTGACGTTTTTAAGAAAAGACTGGACAATCACTTGTCTGAAATGATAGAGGGACTCCTGCTTGAGCAAGGGGGTTAGACTAGAAGACCTCCAAGGTCCCTTCCTTGATTGAAATCTCTTTTAGATTGCATCAGCAGTTCTCCCAATTAAATAAACATGAATTTAATTTAAAATTTTAATTAGCTAAAATATTGCAATAATGTCAAATATCATTTCAGGCAAGAATGCTGATTTCTGGCAGATTTGTTAGTCTAAAATATTAAGCATCAATATATAGAGACAGAGACAGAGAAAGAGACAGGGAGATGGAGATGGAGAAGGAGATGAAGACGCAGACAGAGAGATAGAGATAGAGATATAGGCACCTACAGCAGGGGACAGCATTAGCCAACTTTGGCCATTCTTGAAAAAGCTTAGCAGAGTTTTGAACCTCCTTTTACTTGGCTGGGAGATTATTGGAAATTGCAGAACTATAGGCTAGGTTTGGAAATTGAAAAAAAACATCCAGGATGAAGAAAGTGAAAAGCACTTCTTTACTGTTGTCAGGAAAAGTAGATAGACACTAGCAGTTAAGGTCAACCTAAGGGAACCTTTGTCTTATTTCAAGGAACCTTCTGAATTGCTTCATGTGCCACAAGTTGTCTATAGTCCACAGGTTGAAAGATATTGCCATATACTGTAACTAAGATTTATTGATCTATAGTTTCTATAGATGTTAAGCTGAGAGATGTAAATTAGTTGTGTTGTGATGGATCATTTGGGGAGTCCTGCTATATGAATAATTTTAGACATCTTTTAGATTTCTTTACATCTAGTTTTTAGATTGGTGCATACAACAGTGCAGCATGACGCCATTATTTATGTGCTGTAGCTTTGGAGTTGAAGAACAGATGCTTAAGCAATAAAAGCACTATCTTGTTACCTGAAGCCTGCTTAAAAAGAATTGATTTGTAACAATGACTAAATCTAGTGGCCTTTTTAATACTCTTCTCCAGCCTTTAATACTCATTTATATTCTATTCTATTAGCACATAATGGATATGTACAATTTTTCAAACGGGGCTTTTAGCTAGAACAGAGGTTCCTAAACTAGGGGTAATTAGCCCCAAGGGGGTAATTTGGGCATATCCCTAGGATAATGGAGTATTTGTAATTACTTTTTTTGTGAACTGAGGATCCAGTTTGGGATGCTGCTGCCAAGATGCTTGAGTAAAACAACATGGTTTAGATG